AACTGCTAGATAAGCAAATTTGAATCTTGATCTGTATTGCGCGTGTTTCATTTTTATCATCCATTCTTAACACTCTACATTATCTGCTTTCAGGATTAGGTTTGGATTATCTAAATCCTGCTACTCGTTAATTTTGTAAATCCTTATCTATTTATGACTCAAAATATATCAAGGAAATACATTGTCATGGTAAAAAATAAGTGTCTTGACATTATTTAGCAGTTAAAATAAAATTTTTAGAATATATCTTCTCACATATTATATAAATTGCCGCATTTGCCCTTTTTAAACTTGACTATGGTGGCTTTGTTTAAAGCGGGGGAGTCGTCACCTGCGCATGCGTCAGATGGTCATAGCGTGTCATTGTTTACAAACAAGTGTCTACCCACGGGCCTTTGCGGTTTTAGCGTGGGTTGTTGTTGTCGCTTGGGCCTCAATTTCCGCGCGTGCGCAGATGACGACCCTTCCCTTTTAATGTGACATGTGTTCCTATTAAATGTTGTTTTGATTTCATATTTCTTGTTCATGTGACTATAATGGAGCATGCTTGATTTATTTTGAAACATATCAATACAACCAAAAACAGATTGAGATGGTAGTATGTGTGCATATCATATAATTGCTGGAAAACAATGTGTATATGCATAAGTGATAAAGTGAAATACGATATTATATTTTTCAGGTCATGGCAGCTTATATGGGCGGTGTTAGTTTATCCGCTACTGGATATTATATGTACAGTTTGTGTTTTTCATTCTAATCTAATGTGTTATGATTAAACTTGTCAGTCATACAACGAGGTGGTTGGGCTATAGTTTGACGTGATATTAAAATTACATGCAAATAGTAATAAAATCAATATCTATATACTTAAATACTTTATTCCAGAGATGAAGATATTACATTGGATTTTAGGACATTCAAGGGAATCGCATCATCAAGTTTTGTGTGTGGTGCGGCCTGCTCAGAGGTTGAAATTGACTGTTTAACTGGTGAACACCGGGTACTTAGTACAGATATTGTAATGGATTGTGGACGAACTATCAATCCGTCTATTGATATTGGACAGGTATATTAATATATATATATATATATATATATATCCTACATATCGTGGCAGTATGATGGCTTAATTATCGTTTTATTAAACCTCAGATCAGGTACACAGGGGATCGTTACGTTCTCAAGCCTCTCGACCAAGCAAAAACCAACACAGAGATGAGTCGTGTCAACTTCTAATCTCAGTCGCCTTGTGGAGAGCCCGCCAAGACTAGCTCGGCTGCCGGGCACTGCCCAAGACTCTCTGCCTCGTATGATGGAGATCTCTCTCAGACTGACCACGACTCTCTTTATTTACTTTCCAAAACATTAACATATCACATGGAAGTTCAAGAGATTGAGGCGTGGCCTCCATACATTCTACTCATGTAGCCAATCACATGTACTTAACTACAAGTACTTAACACGTCATATATATATGATTAATTGTCCGCTATATTAAGAGACTACACATACCAAACTGTCAGGAATAATGGTCTGTTGTCAACGTTTATATTGTAATTTATTTCCAATCACTGACTCAAGTGTGGCCTAATGCGTCCTATAAGCCTAAATAATGACATGTTATGGGAAAGTGTTGAATGATATCACCCAGCCACTCCACTAGAAACCAGCTATCAAGTAAATATCTAGACACATTGAAAGAATCCCTGACAGTAGTACGGTATAATAAACTATAATAACTGTGTACAAGGTATTAACAACTCAAATAATCTGACTGTTTAAACGTTTTACGCCATGACTGACAACCTCAACATACACCATTATCTCAATATACTTCCAAAAACATTTGTTTGGGTTGTATTAATCAAAGTCGTAAAACGGTATGTCTAAACAATGTATTTC